TTTTTCCGTAGACCAAAGTAAATAAACGACTCAACGTTTTTGACACTTATTTAATAAGTCTTAAGGTACAGAAAAAAAATAGGAAAAAATTGAGGCATATAAACCCATATCAATAAATAGTCAAAAATAATAAAAAATTGAATGACATTTGAATTGTCGGCAGCGTTGTTTTCGCATTTTTTTTTTCGCTCTTGAAAGAAAGTACTATAAAGAAAAAACAACAAATATCACATAAGTTCATCATTGGGAAACTTGGTCGGCTTCTTTCGAGGATGCAGCTGCTCTTGCGCAGTCTGTCATATTGACGTAAAACACGCGCTACCGCGCGAACTCAATTTTCCCTTCTGATGTTATACCTAGGTGTCTTTTTTATAAAAATATTTTCGGTAAAACCGTTTTGGGAACATATTCTACATAAAAGTTACCAAACATTTTTTTGCTCAACCTTGATTCCCTGAAATATTTTTTATCTGTAACTTTAAACGCCTCCTTGATTTTGGTAAGTACTTGATGTGGTTCAAAATTGAATATTTGTAAGAGTTACTCAAGTACATACCTACTGTGTTTACCGCGTTGTAAATTGTGATTTGTTTTTTTTTTGTACGAATTCAATCATTTAAATCGAGGAGAATGAAAAAAAATCGAGGTGAAAGCACTTTTTTAAATGTACCTAGCTTAAATTAACAAACTTTGCAATTTAAAGCGGCTTTGAAAATTTTTGTTTTTAGATTCCTTTTTCGTTTGAAGACTCTCTTTGGCGATACATAAAATATTACATATAGGGTATTTCAAAATAAGGGGTCTTAAAGTAATTAAATAAATAAGAAGAGGTATGTTTAAATTTTATAAATTATAAAATAATATGGGCTATTAAATTAATTATTATCAGAACTAAGTAATCTATTCACACATTTTTATTATTCAATCAGTGCAGAAGGTGTACGAAACAAAAATTTAGTAAATGGATGTTAAAAATTGATCATTTAACAATAAACGAAGTAAAACCAGTTACAGCAGATGTTTAAAATAACTAGGTACTATTTTTGCGAATGAATAAATTCTTTTTTTTTTCGTAAGAAAACATCTTGTTCATTGGCCCTGGATAATTTTAAAATTTATTAAAAACATGAACAAATCAATCATCTACAATATTTACACATACTTCTTGTGAGTAATTTTTTTTTTCTTGTAATGTAATTTACATTGTGTTGCACAAATATTACTCAAGCTTGTATACCAAATTACTCCTACGGTTTCCTCCTCGATTAAATGGCACTAGATATGTATTCTCATAAAAAGAAACGCATTGAAAAATAAAACTGCAGCATGTTTAAAAAAATATAACTAGGACTTCATAAATAATTAGTATTATTGTGTAATGAGATAAAGTATGTTTCATCAAATTTAAGCAACTGCGATCTATATCGATTTTTGAAATTATTAGACTTACGTATTTAATTATTGCAGAATGGCAATTTTATTTAAGCTAATAAAATTATAATCATTTTTGATTAACATTGTTTCTGATTTTGGCATTTCGCTGTAATTTAATTTTACAGCAGCGTAGTGTGTTTCGCTAAGAATAAATTCTCTTCTTTCTTTGCGGAGTGGTTTAAATATTGATTCCGTTGAGGACCAGACCCCTGCTTTAGACTAACACCACATATTTCCTGGAAGTTCCGAATGGGCTATTCACCCGCGCAGTTTGCACGGCCTTTCGAAAGCAGTGTTCAAAAATGTCCATTTAAAAGAAAACGTTAATCAATTACGATTGTTCCTTATGAAAAGGATACAATGGATATTTGTGAATAGAGTGGTCAGTGAGATTTTTCGTACCTTTCTAAAGAGACGTGGAGATATAGACACAGAAATAATACCTAGTTAACAAAATTTTGTTTGCATTCGACAGACATTTTTTGTTATTGAAACAAACAATAAAAGTTATTCCCATCATTTATTGGCACGACTTTATTTCTTTGGAAGAAACAAGTACCTACCTACCTACCAAAAGTAAATTTTTTCACAATATTTAAAAGGTAAAACACGAGCGTGAACTAAAATGCTTGGTGAATCTTTAGTAGTGGATTCTACATCACAAATTAAACAAAAATCACATTAAAGTTGAATTTAACATAAAGTTTTTTTATACACATTGTAACATATTGCTGTGACAATGCTTTAAGTGGAGCTCCATTAAATATAAACAATATTTTAGTTTATAATGAAATCGGCTCTTAACTATCTAAAATAGCTTCATTTCTCAGATCCTTTTTTAAATAAACTGAAAAGTTATTGCTTTATCGATTTTTTACGAATATGATTATTTCAAAATGTTTTAAAATTTTCTATAACGTTTTGAATTCTGTGCTATAAGTGCAGTACAATTTGTCTAAATTCATATTATATTTAAATATATAATATAAAAACATCATTAAATAACTAAAAAAATTTGCACAGAAGGTACCTGCCCTACTATTGAAGTCCCCTCTCTTTGTCACTCCTATCGCATCCATGAAAAAGATGAGTTTGGTTAGCTTCTAAATTAAATTGACTGACTCAACACTATTTTAGAACAAAGTGCTATAATGTGCTATGATTTTTAAAGGATAGTAGTAAGTTGTAAAAATATGTATGTTACCGAACAGAAATATCGCACGATTTTAATAAATCAAAAAAGTAATTTTCAAAATGTGTTAAATTTAGAACTTGAAAACTAAATATAGAACTTTATTTAAAACTTTAATTGTGAGAGGCTGAATATGACATTAGTTTGAACAAAATAAAATTGTAATTTGATTTGAATTGACTTTTGGGACAAATTTATAAATGACGTAATGGAGTATTTTTGATTAAATATAGACAATATTTTTCAGAATCCGAAATTCAAATTATTTTCACTGGTGTAAAAGTTACAGCATGAAATTAATATAAATTTCTCACATCGAAAAGTGTAATTTAATGGCCGTAATTACGTGACCAGTTTGTTTTCTTTTAACACCATGTAATTTCTAAACAATTAATAAATTGTCATGGATTTATAAGGTATATTTGTAGTATCTAGATACCCTATCTGATTTTTTCTACTTATTGCGAATCGTCTTGTATATTAGTGACACAACAAATGTAATTTTTGCTTCTTTACCAACACGTCTCTAGAGAGAGCTCAACTTATTATAAATATGAATACCTAAAGCAAAAAAAAAAAATACATTTTTCCTCGATTTTTACTAGTTTTTATGCTGAGAAAAAAGAGGAATTAAAATCAAGTCAAACTGATTCAAAAGAAAGTTAGAGGAATTCAAGGGAAAGTCAAACGAAGTTGGAAGAATATAAGGGGAAATCAGACGAAGTTAAAGGAATTTGAAGGAATTCATGTAGAGAATCTCTTGAATGGGGGAATTACTAACATTAAATTTAATTATTTTTTTAATTTAAGTAGTATTCAGTTTTATTTTTGATTATCCTTGAGAATAACTAACTTGGAAATATATTTGTCTGATCGGTGAAAAAATAGTTGGATAAAAGTTAAAACAGTCTATAATTTTATACTGATTAAAGATTAGATACTTAATACAGTGACCCAATATTTCGCGTGTCTTCATAAAAATATGAAAAATTACACATTATATTAGTTATTTTGAAGTCAAGTTAAAGTAAAATTATCTTTTTTGAAAAAGGAAATTGTACAATAACCTTTTTTTGATGTGTAATTTTTCTTCCAATTTTAAAAGGTGCTACATTTTTTTAAGATCAAAATAAGCGTGCTTAGCCTTATCAAAGTTGGTAAAAAGAATTCTCCTTGTGAGTATATAACTCTAAATCTAGTTCGATTTAAATGAAATTTAGTATGCTAGTACTTGTGCAGATGTTACTTTTTTCATCGATTGGCAACAAACAGGTTTTTTCACACTTGTATTTTTTTTTTGTATTTCTAATGGTTGTCAAGGGGGTTTTTGCATAATTAATTAATTATTTTATTAATTAGTATCAATGCATTTTCTATGGAATCCTGATTTAATTGTCATCAGTAATAATTTATTTGGCAATAAAAAGGAAGGACAGAAATTTGTAATTAAATGTTCTTTCTTCGGTTCTTTAACTTTTACACTGTAAAAATGAAGTAGAAAAATTTATATGACGAGCGTTCAAATAAAAACGTGGTCGAAGTTGGCTCTGACACATTGGACGTAGGGCGTAGCTTATAGCGACCAACTTAACCTCATTTCTCAACGAGCTGTATAGCAGCTGTCAGTTTCAATAACAAAGCGGCGATACAGCGCTTTGACAGACGACGTTTAAGTTCATTTGCTATACGCTACGCCCTACGTCCAAATTTTCAGAACCAACTTGACCACGTTTTTATTTGAACGCTCGTTATATTATGTTCTCATTCTCTAGCACTAGATTTCTGTTCCTTAAAGTATATAATTTTCTGTAAACTTAAAAATCATTTTCCCCTATTAATTTCTAAGAAAATAGTTATTTCATCTTCACCTATCAACAATAATGTGCAAATAGAGATAAAGATATAGGTATTTGTGAATTGATCATTAAAACTACGTTTAATCATTATCTGTAATGATTACGTGGAACGCACCTCAGTCATGGCATCATTCTGTATCGTCACTAATTTATCAATTAATTATTTGTAGGAATGTAGTCAGTAGGTGTTTTACCCGATGTTCAATGGGATATGTAAATATTTTATAAGTGAATTGTTTCTTTTAAAAAAAATATACGGAGATACCACGAAACGGCTTTATTAACATCAAAATTTCTTGATTTAGCGACATGTTCCTTAGACTAAAACACATGGACAATTTTGCGTCAGATCAGATCTGTTAATCGGCGGTGACGGATCCGTGACGGATTCTAGAACTTCGCGCATATGCCACCATATGCGTCGATCGAACGCAAACTTACCCTGATGTAGCCTAGCATTATTTGCCGAATGGTTACCGGAAATATTTGGAAGTAATATTTTGGAATTTGTGTTTCAGTTGGAGACGATGACGGACCAAGGTGGAGCCTGGTGCGGCCCAGGCCGCTAGCTACCTAGCCATATGGCTAGTCATGGAGGCCCCACATCCTTGCCGCGCACCCACCGTCCGCGGCCGCCTATCATGAATGTTCCCCCCATCACGGCCCCCCTGGCTCCGTTGCGGCCTGCGCCACCCGTAACCCTCACACTTCCTAGACCTGAGAATGAACGTGCCACCAATGAATACGTCGAGACACCCTTCAGGGCCGCTCCGCCGTCTCCGCCGCCCCTGCAGCCTCCTAGGACGCAGAGGCCCACGCGGTTGGTGCTGCCTCCTCCGCCTCCTGTACCCGTCACCAAGCAGCCCGCCGCCGCAGCCAGTTTCAGTAAACAACCGCTTCCAGAGTGCGCGACGAGGCCTTCGATCATGTGCCCGGAGTGCGGGAGATGCCGTTGCGAGTCATGTCAAAAACCTAGGCCGTTGCCGCAAAAGTGGGTCTGCAACAATTCGTGTTTGGTGTCCGCGGACAGTGTCATTGACTATGCGTCCTGTTTGTGTTGTGTCAAGGGACTCTTCTACCATTGTTCGGAATCAGACGGGGGCGAGAGTTGTGCGGACGATCCGTGCGGCTGCGGACCAGACCGAAGAGCCGCACGCTGGGGGTGCCTCACGGCACTGTCGTGCGTTTTGCCCTGTTTGTGGCTGTACTGGCCTCTCCGAGGATGTAAAAGAGCAATCGAGGCATGCTACGCCCGACATTCGAGGACTGGATGCCGTTGCGGACCACCCCTACCCACTCCCGAGAAGAGATTGTTGGACTCGAGTCCTGATTTTTAGAACGCGAGTGCGCTCGACTGCCTTTGTGTACCTATTATTATAACTATATTAATTTATTTTTTGTAAATAAGTGTAATTTCTAACTGTTCATAATAGTGATATTCCGAGCTTCTTTACTGAGTGCCCTCGTCTTGGAATTCGGTATGGACTGCGAAGATGGACTTGCGACGCGTGATGTGCTGTTGTAAATAGTTGCGCTTTGTTTGGGGGCACCAGTGACCGCAGCGGGTCTCCAGTATTATCTAGTCCAGCGTTGAGAAATGGCCATTTTCAGTTGGTCCCTATGTGAACATAAAATATAGCTATTTTCTTAATTATCACACTTAGACTTCCGAGATTATGACTGTTGCACGTAGACCAATTGGAAGTGACTACATCTGTATGACTGAGGAGTATGAATGAATGATAATGTAGGAATGTGTATATACATATATAAGCCTATTTCCTCTGATATTGTATGGTTGTTGTTTTCCATTCATTACCGTTATCTGAACCAGAAACATGAAAACTATTCGAAATGTTAAAATAAATAAAAGCAAACCCAAAAGTATGTAATGATTTTTAAATCCCTTTTTTTCAGTTCCTTCAATTTTATATTTACTTTTAGAGCGTCGCTCTTCAAGCGGTGCAGAATAATAGAAGTATAAGCAATTACTGCACCTGTTCCCGGCGAATCTTGCACACTGGCTCTAGTACTGACATATACTTCAGTTTTAAGTACATGACGTATCTATAATGAGAAAATTGAACACGTCATGATGATTTCAGAGGAAACTAGGTAGCATTTTTATATAAAAGGTTTTAGTCGCGCTATATCTCTATATATATTACTTACAAAACGTACATGAAACATCTATCGTATAATAATCAACGCGGATGGAAATCATAAAGTTAATTCACATCGTAAAGAGCCAAGTTTATCATTTCAATGAAATATAAAAGTACATATTAATAAAACCAGACTGTAAACGTTAGATTCGTAATATAAAAATTGGATTGTATTATAATTTGTCTGGTTATGTGATAAGAAAACGGCGATAAACTTGCCTTGTCAATGTGATCTTTATTGACGCAATCTATTCAAATTCTCAGGCATTCGTTCATAAAATTATCGTTCGACGATCTTGATTTAAAAAAAAAAATATGTTTTTACTATCAGTTTAAATAATGGAAGGGCTGTATTTATATATCTATACACACCGTGACTTTAGAGCCCCAAGGTCAAATTTCATATTAAACTGATTTCAAAATTCATCCTAAGCTCCTCTTTATTTACTCGTATAAAATTTCGTATATTTCAAATTGTACATCATAAACGTTATCGAGTTTTATGTGAAAACATTTTCGCAGTTATTGTGGAGTACCTAAATTAATAATTTGACATACAAGTTTATATCGCAGTTTTTATTTTTTTCCATATTGGTACCATTTGGTCTGACTTATACATACAAACATACACACACATATATATCATTATCTTATAAGCATTCTTTATTATATAGTTAAATATATATGATATTATATGGTGAATATTTTCAACCCATTTAAAGTGTATATGTTAGAAATACAATTTTAACGGAATTTCAAACATTTCTATCTAAATTTAATCTACATTTGTTTCATTGAAAGTAGTAATTAAAATTTGGCATGCTGTTGTAATTTTCAAATGTGTCATCTCTATTCTCGAATAGATTGCTCTTTTTGTAAGTATGTATATTAGTCTGCAGATTTTACGATAACAAAGTTTTTAAATTCTATTTTCTAGTTACGCATTAAATGCCAAGGAAAGTAGGCGCCCACTTGAAATTTTGTTACCGTAAGTCTTGTGTGAAAATGGAGGGTAGTACTCTCATGAGTGCCAAACGGCGCTAGCTATATAGCAATTGTATACATGTACATATAAATTCTGTAATATTATTATCTAATATTAATAACAAAGACCAACAAATTTTTTATAGTGTTTTTATTCCCTACCTTTTTCTTTAAATATTACACTGGACATTTTCTAATTTAAATTTTATTGAATTAGTAAAATAAAGAGCTGAGTGTAATACTGCAACTTCTTAACTGAAAACCTGATTTATCTAAAAATATTTACTATACTTTTATCTCTAAACGTTCAGCTCAACATTTTGTAACAGATCAAATGAAGAAATCCACATATTTAAAAAAAAATTAGAGCTTTACAAATAATATGTTTCCTATCTCGCACAGAACATGGCTTTTAGGATTTATACAAATTTCATAACTAATCCTACATTTTGCCACAATCTTTTTACATAATTCTGAAGGAAAAACGAATGTAGTGTTCAGTACAAGCACATTTTGTAGAAAAAGAAATATGAATATTGTTATATTTGGTTTTGTTTGATTTTCTTTAAAACTAAAACAAATCTTATTCAGATCCATATTATACCTATCAGACGTATAAAAAATGAGCTAAAAATGCGAACAATTTTTAAAGTTCAAATTTTTTATTGTAAATTTGTGCTGCTTTCAATTTGGCAAAATAAAATTAGTTCTTGAAACGTGAACTATTTAAAAATTTATAACGTTTTTAATTTGTTTTAAAAAACGTATTAGAGTAATAAATTATTCCCACATCTCGAGTAAATATGAAATAAATGAAAGGAATTTTAAATAAGAAAAAAAATACTAAAATTCCATCCATTATTTTTCTACCTATACGCTTGACCCCTTTGGCACGGGACGGCACTGTTTTGTAGATGAGTTAGAAAGGAATCGGCTTGGAGGACCACGTGTTCCATCGGAAACGTCAGTTATAAAGCAGGATGACTTCCATCTGGCTACATGCTACATCCTCATTTGAATTTTAAAAGAATTTTTAACTGACAAAAAAACTATGGTTCGGCCACACGTTTAACTTAGCTGTTGATACATGGTGAAATTAACTCCTGGAGAATTATTTTATTTTAAAATTAAATTAAATGTATATTAATTTATTCCGTATGTTAATAACACACCAGAAAGTTAATTGCTGAATTAAATTACGTGCCTATTACGGGAGGAATATAAAAATATAAGTATAATTTTGACATGTTTTTCAACCATTTTTTGTTGCTATTAACGTAAAGCTTGAATTAAAATTTTGAAAGTGCCTCTCGATGTCAAATTATTTGTGTTTCGCCTGGCCATTTAGAATTATCTCCTAATCAGTAATTTTATTAACGCGTTTCCTGTCATAATCATATCAGTTTTCTAAAATAAAACGTGCTTTGTCAGTTTATATATAGCATAATAAATTTTTTACGCTATAGATTAAGAAAAAAATGTCCTATGGAAGTGATTCTCGATTCGTTGTTGTTAAAATGCTGCAATTTTACAAAATGTTTCCTTTGTTGTAATGTTAACTGTTTAAGAAAGGTTTTTGGAGTGTGTTTGGTGTGTTTCATGACAAAATTTGAGAACATTTCAAACTATTATTTCAACCTTCGAAGGTTTAAAACATATACTTTTTTTTCTTATTTTGACTACTATAACTTAAGTTTATTCGTTTATAGCAGTATTTTTTAAGCACCCGGAATATTGTAAATTTAATATCTTTACACTCGTCTTTCTTTGCACAAACCACGTCATACAGTTTTTTTTTTGGAAATTCAATTTACTGATTTCTGGAATATGTAATTTTAATGCTGTTACTTGCATAGGTTTCTCAATTTCTGATACACCAATTTCCGTTTATTAAAACTGCTTACTGGGAAAATAATTCTTTCAAATTTTATTTTTGTTAACTTTGATCCTATTGGCGCAAAGGGTCATTCATTCTTTTTCGTGGGGCAGGAATACCAATTAAATAAAAAAAAGGAATTGGAAATGCCAGGAACAAACAATTACAGATAATAGGAAGAGAAGGTAACTTTACACTATTATTTCCAAATATTTAGGTGTTAAGAAAAATCTTTATTTTCGCACGGGAGAAAACTATAGCCTGGGCCTGGGAAAAAGTGGAAACCGATTGCAAATCCATTACTGCTGACGGTTGCTACAGAGATGCTGCAATTTCAAAAAAGTTTTATGTTGCGTTTTATTCCTTATACACCTTTATCTTATTTTTATGTGCAGAATCACTCATCCAAAAATAAAAAGAGAATTATTGAATATCCTGTGTTTCAGTATATGTAACGCCAATGATTTATCTGTTTACTTGAATTCCATAGGTAGGTATCTATCAAAATTTCACCAGTTACAAAAAATCTTGTAAAATAGTTATCTAGTGGTTATAGGTAAATGGTCTCAAAAAAAACATACCCTACATACTACTCGTACTGTCTTATACCTATATTCAAAAAATATGTTACATTTGAGATAAGTAACATGTACCAAATAAGAGGTCTCTAACTAAAACAGTTTTAGAAGGGTATTTTCTGGTCATCCTCTAGAGGTAAATTTAGTTTTAGGAACTCATTTCCGGTAGAAAAGTGTCACTTTTTAGATGTTGCATTGTTTTACTTGGCCTCGGTACATAAATAACTATTGTTGACTCCATTGTTTCTAATACATTCAGATGAAATTTATTTTATTTTGTCAAAGAAATTTAACGTGCAGAGGAAAGAGGGGTTGCATAGGAGCTGCTGTTTGGATAACCATATGGTCCAAATGTATTGATCTTTCTTACTTTTACCACTTTCGACATGTGATATTGACTCGCTGTTATTTAATCAGATGTTTATGTAATGGGAGTTTTCTGCAATCTGCAACATTCAAAACTGCATCCATACTCCATACTAAAGTCATTTCTAGTACAATAGGGACCAGATGGCTCGAAAGGGAGGCAGGTATAATTCACAGGTACGCACTGTTAAAAAGCGTTAACTGTTGATTGCCTACGTTGAATGAAAGGTGAAGAGAACGGACGATATTGGTGGGTGGTACAGATTACTGATTCTGGGCTATTCCGAGAAACTCCCCTTGTGCCTCTTGTACCCACCGAGTTATTTCGGGAAAGTCGCGACTCCACATGTCTCAATGTTTGCTTCCTACTTCACGAAATTGGATTTTGGACCATAACTTAAATATCAGTTAAGGCTTCGGGTGGATAGATTGTGATTGATTGTATAAAAATATGGGGTGTTTCGGAATAACGTACCATAAATTCTAGGGACTGTCAAGAATTAAATTTATTTTTTCCTGTGAATTACGGACTTATCTTTCATTTTCGAGCGTAAAAACATTTTCTTAAAGAATTTCGCCAGTCCAAAAGTAAGCAATGTATTGTATTGTATTGTATTGAAAAGTAGATACATTTATTTTCAAACTAGCCCTAAATAAGTTGTATTTACTAGTTTTTTAATAAATATTTGTTATGCTGCAAACCAGGAATATTTTAGTCACAAATTTTGTAGTTTTGTAATGATTTTCTTATGTAGTTTATAATTCTACACAAAAAGTGTATTACCTATTGTCATTGTCAAAATACAACAGGTTCGTTCCCCTAAGTTTAATTTTTTCACTTAATGATTAATTTAATAATAAAACATCTTTATAATGTACATACTGTATATAATATATAGGTAAATTCGCAATTTAATTATTGCAGTGGTTAAAAAAATGGTTTAACCAGTACTCAAACTAATAATTCTGGATAATATTTTATTAAATTAGCAAGACTGCATTGTTAAAGTAGTAGACTATCCCAAAAATCATAAGATATATCGTAAACACACAATTTGTAATGGCTAATCAATTTAAAAAAAAACAATGTGTTTGAATATTGTTCATATTCAGTATGGAATACAGAAAACAATGTCTTTGACTTATCCTTTTTTTTATGAAAGAAAATATAGTAATAAAATTTAGTCGACATTAAAAATAGTCACTTTAATAAAATTTTCAAAATATGCGATGATCACAACGTAATATTTACTTCGACTAAAGTAGTGACTAAATCAATATGAAACTTTATTCTCGTATATATGAAAATCCTTATCTATATCACGTTAAAAACAAATAACAAATATACATAACCTCTATAAAAAATTAAAATATGTAATAAGTTATGCAATCAGTCTATAATAATTCAACGATAACAAAGTTAACACCGATATTTTTAAGTCTTCGCACATTAATATCTAAATTGAGAAAATTACGAACTGCTCCCATTGATTATTGTGCAATTCATTCATAGTTTTACCTTCCATGCGCATGCACAGTTAAAAATATGAGCAATTTATTCCAGCCGGTAAAGCTTTCCATACACTATAAATATTGCTATTTTTCAGAAATTTGTATACAGAAATTCGAATCATATTTTGTTAAGCTAGAATAGTACTTATATCGCGCTAGTACACAGTTTATTATAATATATTTTTTTTTTAATCAATCTCATAGAGGTTTTTTATTTTTGGATCCACTAACACCTATTTTATTTTAATTGGAGTTTATTTATGTTTTAATAGAATGGTTTCCTACGATTGCAGACCAGATGGGTATGTCTCTAATAGCATCTAATATAACCAAAAGAGCATACCATAAGTGTCATATATCAGAAAGACACTACTTTAGTTGTAAGGCAGCCCGGTCTTTGTCTGGTCCATCAAAAATATTTTTTATTATAGATCTTAGATTTATTTCTAGGTGTACTTGTACAATACTCTGGTTGGCAATCCATGGCCTGCTGAGAGTTTTTTTGAGAAACGATTTTTCAGAAAATCACTAAAGATTCTTATTTAATATCTGGCGGCGTCGGCGTCGTCGTCTTCAGCATCGTTCATTTTTCTTATATCGTTATTTGTTAACTAACGACAAGCAGTCAAATAAAAAGAAAAATATTATAAATTCTTATTTTTCTTCACCGTTTTAAATGCAAATGTAAAGTTTAATACATTAATGTTTCGCTATAGTTCCCAATTATAACACTTTTATTTTTCGTTTTATCTATAAATTCATATTTTAGCAATCGAAATTTTTTATTAAATTGAAA